GAAGATTTGACAAAACAAAGAACTGAGGATGCTAGAGACCTGAAACAAAAAAGAACTTAGTGGCAAAACTCAGCAGATCTGGCAGCATCTGTGGGAAGAAAGCAGAGTTTTGAGTCCAGTAACTCTTTATTAGAACTATTAGCAACTAGGAAAAAATGGTATTTATGTTGAAGACAAAGTTGGGGGTGGGGAGGAGAGGGATGAGTGGATAGCTGAAGATGGAGCCCAGAAAGTGAGAGATATGAAGGAGTTGGTAAACAAGGAGATTATGGATAACAGGCCAGGGCAGAAGAAAAGCTGAGTAAGTGGTAACAAGAGCTAAAAGGAAGAGAGAATGGGTGAGCCGTACTGAAAGCAACCCATGTCTTAACAGGACTGGGTGTAGGATGGGTGATAAACATGGAAGGATGGAATCAGGCTCTAAAGTTATTGAACTCGATTGTTGAGCCCTAGAGACTGCAGAGTCCCTAGGTGGAAAATGAGATGTTGCTCTTTTGAGCTTGCGCTGAGGGTCGCTGGAACATTGCAGCAGGCCCGCGGCAAGAAATGATAGCCAGGGAACATGGTGAGGTGATGAGATGGCAGGCAACTTGACTTGATAAATGTTTTCAAAATCATAAGGGGTCTGGATAGAGCAGACAGGGAGAAATTGTTCCCGAGAGGATCAAGAACCAGTGGGCTCACTGTTATAAAGAAGCAAATGTGAGGTGAGAAAATACATTTTCACATAGCATCTAGTTAGGAACAAAAACAGAAGTTGCTGGAAAAGCTCAGCAGGTCTGGCAGCATCTGTGAAGAAAAAAGTCAGAGTTAACGTTTTGGGTCCGGTGACCCTTCCTGAGAACGTTACAGCATCCGCAGTTCTTTTGGTTTTTATCTAGTTAGGATGTGGAATGCCCTGCCTGGAAATGCGGGTGGAGACAGATTCAACTGAGGTGTTTTCAAGAGGGCATTAGATAACTGTTTAAATAGAAACAACTTGCAGGGTTATGGAGAAAAAGCAGAAGTTTGGCACTAGGTCAGAATACTCAGAGAACCAGTGCAGACATGATGAGCAGAAGAGCCTCCTTTTCCAACCTAACAATTCTGCGATACTGTGAACACTGTGTCATTGTGTGGTGCTGGAGGAGTGCTGCATTATCAGAGATGCTACTTCTTCGGCTTGAATGTTTAAGTAAAGCACTCTCAGTCAAGCTGTTCCTGTACAATTACAACACTAGCATCTACCTGACAATGAGGAAAATTGCGCAGGTATGCCTTATACACAAAAAGGAGGACAAATCCAACCTGGCCAATTACTCCTCTGTCAGTCTGCTCTCGGTCATTAGCAAAGTGATGGAAGGTACCATCGACAGCACTGTCAAGCAGCACATGCTCAACAATAATTTGCTCAGTGACACCCAGTTTGGATTCCACCAGGGCCAGTCACCCCCTGATGCCATTACAGTTTAGTTTAAACATGGATCAAAGAGCTGAATTCCAGGTGAGCTGAGACTCACATCAAGGCTGCAGTGTAGCAACAAGGAACCTGAGCAAAGTGTGGTCTTGGGGAATTGGGGAAACTCTCCGCTGGTTGGAGTCATACCTGGCACAAAGGTTGTGTTGTTGGAGATCAGTCATCTCAGCTCCAGAATGTCACTGCAGGAATTCCTCAGGGTTGCATCCTAAGCCCAACCATCTTCAGCTGCTTCATCAACGATCTTCCCTCCATCATAAACTCAGAAGTGAGTGAGCTTGCTGAGCATTTCAGAATATTCAGCACCATTCACAATTCCTTGAATACTGAAACAGTCCGTATTTAAATACAGCAGGACCGGGACAATATCCAGGCTTAAGCTGACAACTGGCAAGTGATATTCTCGCCACACAAATGCCGACAAGAGAGAATCTAACCATCGCCCCTTGATATTCAATGGCATTACCATCACTGAATCCCCCACTACCAACATCCTGGGGTTTACAATTGATCAGTAACTGAACTGGACTAGCCATGTAAACACTATAAAAGCAGGCGAGGAATCCTGCAGTGACTAACTCACCTCCTGATTCCCCAAAGCCTATTCACCATCTACAAGGCACAAGTCAGGAATGTGATGGAATACCTTCTACTTGCCTGGATGGGTGGAGCTCCAACAACACTTAACACTATCCAGGACAAAACAGCTCACTTGACTGGCATCGTATCCACAAACATTCATTCCCTTAACTACTGACACTTGATAGCAGTAGCGGGTATCATCTATGAGATGCACTGCAGCAATTTATCACTACCATCAGGAAGGACAAGGATAGCGGATAGAGTCATAGCATATATAGCACAGAAACAGACCCTTTGGTCCAACTTGTCTACGCTGACCAGACATCCCAATCTAACCTAGTCTCATTTCCCAGCATTTGGCCTTCTTATTCATGTACCCATCCATCACTTCCTCTGGCAGCTTGTTCCATACATGCACCACCCTCTGCGTGAAAAAGTTACCCCTCGGGTCCTTTTTAAATCTTTCCCTCTCACCTTAAGACTATGGCCTGTAGTTTTGGACTCCCCCACCTTAGGGAAAAGACCTTGACTATTCACCCTATCCATGCCCCTTATGATTTTACCAACCTCTATAAAGTTACCCCTCAGCCTCTGACGTTCCAGGGAGAAAAGCCCCAGTCTATACAGCCTCTCCCTATAAGTCAAACCCTTCAATCCCAATGGCATCCTTGTAAATCTTTTCCACACCTTCTCGATTTTAACAACATGTGAACATCTTCACCTTCAAGTTCCCTCTAAGCTACCACCATCCTGACTTGGAAATACATCGCTGTTCCTTCAGTGTTCTTGGGTTAAAATCCTGGAACACCCTCACTAACGCCGTTTTGTGTCTACCTACACTTAATAGTCTGTAGTGGAACATCTGGGGTGGGCAATAAATCTGGCACAGACAGAGATGCCCTCATCCCATGAATGAAAAACTAAAAGAGTTGGCTATAAAATATCTCATCATGCTATCAAAGGAATATTTACCCCTCAAGCTGCATGCATCTAGGCAAGTGGGGAGTATACCATCACATTCCGAAAATTATCACCACAGAATTCGCAGCCTCTGACCTACATTTTGCATCAAAATATCATGGCTGGCCTAGTTAAAATGAATTTAAATTCAGAGAGCAATGCATTGATGCCAGCAATTTAGAAGTTCCCTTTTGTATGTCATCCAATGTTTTTGAACAAATTCTTGAAGACTTTCACTCACACGCTACCACATCTCAAAATATAGCAGCAACAACTTGAGTATTTGCAATATTCTGTTAGTCTGACCTATTTGGTTCAAGAGAAATGGCCAGGATGTGGAGTGAGGCAATGTCTGAAATTCCTTCTGTTCTTAAGCAGTATTGACTGGAACATAACGGAGACTATCTGCATGTGAACTAGACCTGCTCCAGTTTTAGAATAATGTACCAGACTAATGACTATTTGACAAAACTTACATATGATTAGGAGTTCTGAATGAAGGTGCTTAAATAGATAGTCACTGATTCAGTAATGATTTCTAATGTTATACTTTCTTTCTAATTATATGTCCCATTTCACAAACATCTTCTTTCAAAATAACATTTCTTCTGCATTAATCAAAAGCTTGCATGTTGAAAGAATTATGTCAGTTCATTTGAGACATTAACTAGATATATTGCCCATTATTATATTTGGAACTTATTGTTATTACCATTGAAGGAAAATATTCCCGTCTGTAAACAGGCGATGTCTGAAAGGGATTTTCTATTGTGGGCAATTATGTCATTGTGACACGCCCTGTGGCAAATTCCCCAATATGTGTCCACTTCCCTCACAAGATATTCCAGGCAGATACTCAGCGTTGGTGTTGCATCACAGAGTCACATCCATCTCCAGCAGAAAACTGCCCTCCTGCTGGACGTGGTGCACTCACATTAATGATCATTATGGTGTCTAAGGACCCAGCAGGCCCAACTCTCTCCGCCTGCCGAACCCCAGAGCAGGTCTGCTGCAGCCAGTGGTTTGGTGTGAAGGTAAAGTCACCAGAGCCCCAGAGAACCACAGGGCTGCTCTCTCATTGGAAAATCAACTAGTGGTGAGTTTAACCTGAGGGTCACCTCAGGTGACAGGCCAGATCAAGAAGCCTGGGCCTTCATGGTCGACATAGGAATTGAACCCACACTGTTGGCATCACTGTATATCACAGACCAGCCATCCAGCCAACTGAGCTAACCAGCAGGAGTTGAGCCAGCAGCTTGTCGGTTCAAATCGCACTCCAGAGACTGAAGGGTATATGTTGAGGCTAAAACTCTGCAGCAGTATGGAGGGATTATCTTACTCAAGTTCAGGTGAGATGTTGAACTGGGTCTTCTTAGCTCTCTCTCATGGGTACCCCAAGGCAGTCTTCAAAGAAGAGTGGGGTGTCCTGGCCATTGTTCACCCCTCAAGCATTATCATCTTATTATCTTATTATGTGTGGGAGCTTGCTGCACACCCATAAGGACTTCATTGGCTGTAAAATACTTTGAGTTACCTGAGCTGGACCTGATGAAGGAGCAGTGCTTCAGAAGCTCGTGATTTCAAATAAACCTGCTGGACTATAACCTGATATGGTGTGACTTCTGACTTTGTCCAACCCAGTCCAACATCAGCACCTCCACACCAGAAATGGGGAGGAAGGTGTCTCCATTGATGGATGACAAAGCTTTGACTCATTTACATGCAAGTTCCCAGGGCTGCATTGAATTGCCTTGTCCTTTGAACAACAGGGTATGATGTAGTTACTGTAGTGGCATGCATTAAAGGGAATGCTAGTTAACTATGTGAGAGAGAAAGAAAGAGAAGGATGTGTTGATGGGGTTAGATAACATGGGTGGGAGGAGGCTTGTGTGGAGCATTAACACCAGCCTGGACCAGGTGGACCAAATGGCCTGTTTCTGTGCTGGAAATTCTATCAAATCCTATGTGTTGTAACCACTGTGGTCCTTTTGTTTCCTCCTAGGTTGATACTGTGCTACTTGTGCAACCATGCGTGTGTTCATCTCGCTGGCATTCCTGATAGCAGCCTCCTGGGCTAAGCCATTTCGTCAGGCACAGTTCCTTGACTTTATGATGGAGGATGAAGGATCTGGTTTATTCCCCGATAATGAAATGCCCGTGTGCCCCTTTGGGTGCCAGTGCCACCTCCGAGTGGTGCAGTGTTCTGACTTAGGTAAGCCATTATCATCCTCAAACTGCTTCACCTGTGGGGCTGGCCACTGTCTATTGGAACCTGTTGTCTTCACATTGAAAACAAAATGTTAAATTCTCATCCCTATTTTCATAACTCTATGGTAACTTTCTCCAGTCCTCCTGGTTTTCTTCACTCCTCTTATTTTGGCCTTGTGAGCTTTAATTGCTCTACCTTTGGTGGCTCTGCCTCCAGTTGCTTAGGCCCTAAGCTGTGAAATTCACTCTCAACCTCTCCGCCTCTTGTCTCCTTTCTGTAAAATCTGCCTCTTAGACTAGGATTTCAATCATTTGGCCCGATAGCTCGGCTTTTCTTGTTAACACTCCTGACAAGTTCCTGGGGATGACTGATTGCCTTTTGGTCTGGCAGCCTGCTCTTGTTTGAAATGATGGATGGTTCTGATAGAATGAATTAGCAGAAACCATTCCAATGACAGGAGGGTTCCATAACCATTCTAAATCTAAATGACCGTTGTTATCACTAGAATACTCTCCCACCGAGTTTTGCCTGTCCAGCTCCAGTCTTTAAACATGAGCCCTGAACTGAGCCATCTCCTATTAGCCTTCCTGCAGTTCAAAGGTGGAGAATAGATTTGATCTCCCTCCGTCTCACTTCTTGGGAACAGATTTAATGTTTCAGGCAAGAGATATGTGGTGGGTTGAAGGTGGGGGTGATGCAGGGGGGAAGTGAGGAGAGAATGTTTCTTTCTCCCAGCGAATGGTAAAGGCCTGAACTTCGTTGCCTGGGGAGACACTGAAAGCAGAGATGGTGAAACGCAGAGAGTTTGAGGGCGAACGCCTTTTTGTGGCCTGTCAGCACATAAGTAGCAAAACATCCAGGCATTTTACAAGAGGGTTGATACAGTGCAAGTGGGGAGCTGCATTAGATGCTGCAGTTTGTAATACTCGGTACTCACATTCCTGTCATTTTGCAATAATTTGCTACAAAGTCTATTCTGATGAGTGTCATCCAACAGCGACAGGGTATCACTAGGTCAATGTCCTCATGAGGCATCAGAGCTTTCTGCAAGGTGGGGCTCTCTGGTTCAGCACAGGCATCCTTGTTTGATTCATCTTGTTTTCATAGAATCATTGAATCCCTACAGTGTGGAAGCAGGCCACGAGCCCATCGATTGCACACCGACCCCCCGAAGAATTTCCCACCCAGACCCACACCCCTACCCTATCCCTGTAATCCTGCATTTCCCATGGCCAATCCACCTAGCCTGCCCATTCCTGGGCACTATGGGTAATTTAGCATGGCCAATCCACCTCAACTACACACCTTTGTTTATTCAGATCCTGAACAGCCTTGACAAGGCGGATTTGGAAAGGCTGTTCCTTCTTGTGGCTGAGTTCCCAGAACATAGGGCTCACCCATTCAGGATAGAGATAAGGAGATGCTTTTTCTCTGAGGGTTTTGTGACTTTGGAACTCTCTGCCTCACAGCGGGCTGGAGAAGGGGCCCTTGAACAGTTTTAAGACCACAGTGGATAGATTCTTGTCAGGCCGAGGAATCAAAGATGATTGGGTAAATGGGAATGAGGAATTTGAAACACAAATGGGTCAGCCATGATCTTATTGAATGGCAGAGCAGGTGGAGGGGCTAAATGGCCTACTCCTGCTATTACTTGCAATGATAGATCCCATAGAAGCATGATATGTAATAATTACTTGAGGGTCCATAGCCAGGGGAGATCACTTTGAGGTTATATGCAGAAGAAACAAAGGGGAAATTAGGAGTTTTTTTTTAAACACTAATCACTGTTAAGACCTGGAATGCTCCTGTTATTATATGACAGTGACTTGTAAATCTGGCTTAATGATATCGACTGCAATTCTTGATTTCCCCATTCCTTCTTCCTATTGCAGTGTACACAATAGGTTTGTCAGCAAATGTGTAGCCAGTGGAATATAAAGGGACAGCTGGGGCAACATCTCAATGAATTTGGCTGAGAGACAGGACAGAGAAAGTAATGGTGAATGGTTTTTCTTGTTCTGCTGAAAGGTGCTCCCAGCTGTCAGTATTTTCCTGATTTTTCTCAGGGATGCTCAGACGGGTGTACAGCCATTATCACTTCAAGATTTGCTGATGAGACAATTCTAGAAAGCATTGCGAACTGTGAGGAGACCAGAGATAGACTTCAGGAGAATATAGAAAAGTTCATGGAAAAGGTGTATAGATGAAATTTGTTGTAGAGGAGTGTGATGTGATTCATTCTGGGGGAAGTAATATAAAATGAAGGGTAGAAATCTAAAGCTGGTGTAGGAGCAGAGGAACTTGCTGGGTATATGGGCACAAATTGTTGAAGATGGCAGGGCAGGTTGAGAAAGTGGTTCATAGAACAAATGAGATCCTGGACTTTCAATGTAGACACCACAGAGTAGAAAAGCAAGGAAGTTATAGTGACCCTTCATAAATGAAGTTCAACATCAGCTGGAGTACTGCATTCAATTCCGACCATCACACTAAGCGAAGGGCTTAGAGAGAGGGAACTGAAAGGTTTTCCAAGAATGGTTGCAGGGATGAGAAACTTCAGTCCTGTGGAAAGGTTGGAGAAGTTGGGGGTATTCTCCTCACAGAACTCCTTACGGATCAAGAGTTACCAGATGACACCATTTTAAAATGAATGGCAAAAGAAAACAAAGAGGACATGAAGGAAAAGTACATTTCTGTGCAGCAAGTGGCTAGGATTTGTAATGCATAGGTGGAGAATATGACAGAGGTAGTTTCAATTAGTGCCTTTAAAAGAAAAATGGATAATTAAACAAATGGAAAGAATGTACGGGGCCCATGGGGCAAGGGCAGGGGAGGAGTGGCTGACTTGTTTTTGCAGAGAGCTGGCATGAATTTAACGAACTGAATGGCCTCCTGCTGTGCTGTGATGAATCTATAATTCCAGTTGCTTCGAACTGGGGAGCTCTGTGGTTCTATCTTTAAGCTTGGGCAAGTACTTAAGATGCCAATGCTTTGAGTCGTAATCCCATGATCTTTCAAACTTTGCTTTTCTGACAACTGGTTTTTGCATTCCTTGTGTGCTCCACCAAGCATCAAATTGTGAATGAATAGCAAGTATTATTTATCCAGGGAGGGACAAAAGACCGCGGCCTACTCCTCAGCCGCTACCATCTTTGGAGCAGAAACCAGCTGATGTCCCAGCGCTGCAGTTGGTGCTCAGGCTGGATCCACAAGCTCCATGCTTGGTGACGTGTGACCTTAGATTGGTGTTAGCCAGATAGTGAAGCTTAAAGGGGCTCTCAAAGCAGCTAAGGGATCCGTCCTCCATCAGTTCACCGGGATAGGATTGCCACTCTGTGGGATCAGCTGCAGCTCTGTCAGACCTGGCAGTATTTGTCCTGCATAGAAGATAGGAGCAGGACTAGGGCCATTCAGCCCTTCAAGCTGGCTCTGCCATTCAATATGATCATGGCTGATCATCCAACTCAGCCCCCTAATCCTGCTTCCACTCTATACCCTTTTACCCCTTTAATCCTAAGGATGTATCTAACTTGTTGTGGAAAACATTCAATTTTTTGGCCTCAACCGCTTTCTGTGGCAGAGAATTCCACAGGCTCCCCACCCTCTGGGTGAGGAGACTTCTCCTCATCTCAGTCATAAATGGTCTACCCTGTATCATTAAACTGTGATCCCTGGGTTCCGGACTCCCTAGTCATTGGAAACATCCTTTTTGCATTCACACTGTCTGGTCCTGTTAGAATTTTATAGGTTTCTATGAGATTCTTCCAAAGTTCAGTGAATGTAGACATAACCGATCCAGTCTCTCTTGCCGTCCCAGGAATCGGTCTAACAGAACTTTCTTGCACTCTCTCCGTAGTCAGAACATCCTTCCTGACAAAGGGAGACCAAAACTGTACACAACACTCCAGGTGTGGGCTTACCAAGGCCCAGTAAATTGCAGTAAGTCATTCCTGTTCCTCCCACCAGTGCCACTCTGCCAGTGCCAATGCTGTTGTCCTCTGCCATTCCAGGTGCTATCATAGAAACATAGAAAATAGGTGCGGGAGTAGGCCATTCAGCCCTGCGAGTATACACCACCATTCAAAATGGTCATGGCTGATCACGCAATTTCAGTATCCCATTCTCACTTTCTCTCCACACCCCTTGATCCCTTTAGCATTGTGGGCCACACTCAGCTCCCTCTTGAATCCACAATGAGATGGCACAGACTGAAGTTGGCCTCTCAAAGACCACAACTGCTCAAGGATGCCCTGTAAGGCCATCTGCAGTCTCTTGTCATGAGAGCTGGCAACCTTCCACAGCTGGGTTTAGCCACTGGGGTTTCAGTGCACAGGGAAAGGGAACCAAGGGAATACACAAGGCTAAAGTGTTCATTTTTGTTTACACATGGGGAATGCGTTTTTGGATCAAGGTGTTACAGGGGAGTTATCGCTGGAGGCTTTTATTGCACCAATCGGGCTCCCAGTGGAATGGCAAGGTGAGGGATAGTGAATGGAAGTTCTCGAGTGGGATGTGGATTCTATAGGAATCCTGGACACTTTGCTCCATGCCGCCTCCTCTCCCCCGCTCCTCCTGAGGATGCCTTCTGATTCTGGGTGCCAGTAGCTGTGCCCACCTGTTACGAAGGATATAACAGAACTATCATAGCCTTGGCCAATGATGGCAGTGTGCTGGAAGATTGCTCTGAGCAGGTCTGGACAATAGAAGTGTTGCTTCAGCATTGGCAATGATTCCTGATGTCTGCTTTGACTCTTGTTATTTTCCTGATGTTCTTACAGGCTCAGCTGACTGCTGGGATTCCAGGGGGTGTTGGGGGTAATCAGCCATGTGTCTTAGCATGCCTAAAGATGGCAGGAAGAGCAGGTTACCTCAGACTCAAAATGCCGTGGCTGCCTCCAGGATAGGGGGCACTGGCTGACGTGGACTCAGTCCTTCCCCTTACAATGATTGTACCTTTCCCTGTTGTTGTATGGAGATGGCAGAGCAGTGTGGGTGTGTGTGGG